TGCGATAAACCTTCTGAGTCAGTTGAAATTAGATGCTGGGCAATGATGAAGATTTGTAGAGGAAGGACAACAAAGTATGTAAGCGAAAAGAAATGCATTGACCAAATTCCTCAAAGTGGAAGATCTAAACAAAATATGGAAAACAACCTAGAGGATTATCTACGAAGTTGGAAGGCATATTACAGGGGGTTTAACATTAGAAGAGAATCTTCTAGGAATTTTTTAGAAATATCTTAGATTTGCATTTTTTTTTTAAGAAAACGGGCCATCTAACGCATTTAATCGATTAACATAAATATTAATCGATTAATAATGAGTACAACGGCTAGTTTTTCAAATCTGAAACCCCCAACGGCTAGTTTTTCAAATCTGAAACCCCCAACGGCTAGTGTTAATTGATTATTCTCAGGAATAATCGATTAACTAAATAAATCAAATATAAATTACAAGAATCAACCCTAATACATATTTGAGCACTATTACATCAACTTTGATTATTATAAAAGCTTTATAAAATACAGAGATCTTCAATTTGTCTTTATGGATCTTGACTTGTGCAAATCTGTTCATCATCAAAACTTCATCTTTGATTTTTGCTAACACGGTGATCATGGGAAATCATGATCAAGTTGAGTTGTTTGACAGTAACAGAAGGCTGATCTTGACCAGTAAAATTTCGAAGAATAGGACGTTTCAAGTAAGGTTAGATGCAGTAGAAAACTTGCAATGTTTGTCTACTGTAAAGATTGAAGAGAGTTGGTTGTGGCATCAGCGTCTCAGTCATTTAAATTTTAGAGACACGCAGAAACTTGAAGAAAAGGATATGGTTTCAGGTATACCCCGCATTTCTTTACCAGTTGATGCATGCAAGTCTTGTTTGGTAGGCAAGCAATCTAGGAAATCTTTCAAGTCAAAGATAAAGATGCATTCAAGAGAGTGTCTAGAAGTAGTACACTCAGATATTTGTGGCCCGCTTGAAGTTTCATCATTGGCAGGAAGCAAATATTTCATTGTTTTCGTGGATGAGTTTAGCAGAATGAGTTGGGTGTATACTATCAAGACAAAAGGTGAAGCGCTGGAGGTTTTCAAGAGATATGTGACTTGTGTAGAAAGAGAGAGTGGCAAGACTCTGAAGGTCTTAAGAACTGATGGTGGAGGGGAGTTTACCTCACATGCGTTTGAAGAGATCTGTAAGAGCAAAGGCGTAACACATGAGGTTACTGCACCGTATACGCCCTAGCATAATGCTTTGGTTGAAAGGAGAAACCGGACCATTATGAACATGGCCAGATGTCTCCTCAAAGAGAAGAACTTGCCACGGAACCTGTGGGCTGAGGCTGTGTCGACAACTGTTTATCTACTTAACAGGTGTCCCACTAAGCGCGTTGAAGGAAGAGTGCCACTTGAAGTTTGGATAGGAACAAAGCCATCCGTGAAGCATTTGAAAGTTTTTGGTTCAATGGTGTTTGTTCATATCCCAGATCAAAAGCGGACCAAGTTGGAAGACAAGGGCGAGCCCATGGTGTTTGTAGGGTATCATGCTACTGGGGCATACAAGTTATATGATCCGATGAAACAGAAGATGATCATCAGCAGAGATGCGATTGTTTTGGAGAAGGAATTCTGGGATTGGAATCATATGCATGCAAGCCCAGAGAAGACGCTGATGCATGAAGTTACTGATGATCAGAAGCAAGAAAGGGCTGAGGTTGTTTCTGACAATAATATTGATTTGAGGGATGCATCTCAAAGACCAAGAAGACAAATAATAAAGCCATCCAGATTCTCTGGTTTTGAAACTTATTCTGATGCATCGATTGATGAAGAAGGGAGTTTGATTCACATAGCGCTCATGGTTGGAGCAGAAGCAGTAGACGTGGATGATGCATTGAAACAATCGGTGTGGAGAAATGTCATGATAGAGGAACTCCACTCAATTGAGGAAAAACAACACGTGGAGGTTGGTAGATCTTCCACTTGGGAAACGAAGCATTAGTGTTAAGTGGGTGTTTAAGAAGAAGTTAAACCCAGATGACACCGTTTCCAAATACAAAGCGTGATTTGTGGCCAGGGGATTCCTGCAGAGGAAAGGAGTCGATTTTGATGAGGTGTTTGCACCTGTAGCGAGACTAGAAACCATACTCCTGGTTGTGGCGATTGCATGTGCAAACAGATGGCTGATTTTCCATTTGGATGTTAAATTCGCGTTTCTGCACGGGATGTTAGAAGAAGAGGTTTATGGTTAGCAACCTCCTGGGTTCAGAGAGAAGGATAAGGAGGAGAAGGTATACAAATTACAAAAGGCATTGTATGGTCTACGACAGGCACCCAGAGCCTGGAATAAGAAGATTGATTCATCTTTGACTGTTCACGGGTTTGAGAAATGCATAGTGGAACATGGAGTCTACGTGAAAAGGAATTCAGAAGGTAACTTGTTGATTGTTTGTTTGTATGTCGACGATCTTTTGGTGATAGGATCGAAGATTGAGGATATAGACAAATTCAAGGAGATAATGAAGAACGACTTTGAGATGACGAACTTAGGAGAACTTAACTATTTCGTGGGAATGGAGTTTACTCGTTCAGCAAGAGGGCTTGTTATGCATCAATATAAATATGTAAAGGAGCTGCTGGAAAGGTTTAAGATGCATCAATGCAACGTTGCCCGAAGCCCTTTAGAAGTGAATGAACAGTTGAGAAAGGATGAAGCTGAAGAGGAGGTAAATGAAACGAGATTCAAGCAGATAGTAGGATCCTTGTGATATTTGTGTAACAACAGATCGGACTTGACATTTTGTGTAGGTCTGATCAATAGATTTATGTGCAAACCCAAGAAGAGTCATATGAACGCTGCTAAACGCATCATGAGATACATCAAAGGCACGTCAACTGATGGCATATTGTTTCTTTATGGGAGTCAGGAGAATGAGTTAAAACTCACAGGGTTTTGTGATTCAGACTACGGAGGTGATATTGTGGAGAGGAAAAGCACCTCCAGTTTTATCTATTTCATTAATGGACCACCAATCTCGTGGTCATCTAAGAAACAATCAGTTGTTGCATTGTCGAGTTGTGAAGCAGAGTATATCGCTGGGTGTTATGTTGCTTGCCAAGGAGTTTGGCTC